AACGTCAAGTTTGCGACTTGCACCCTGGTTCTCAACACTGATTAACGTCTCTCCTCGTTGCCTGCGCTCTCCCTGATTTGCATACAAATTAATGTACATACATAATTGAAGTACGAAATTTTTATATGTAGATCATACTTGGTATGCTTGCCCGCAATATAGGCGTAATTATTATTGTGATATTTTAGCAGACGCGTGTGGGCACAAGTTTTGTCGTATGGAATTTTAAACTTTTTTCAGCGCGAAAGCAAAAGTAATAAATGCATTATTCTCAGTCGCCAAACTGGAGTATTCTGAAGCAAGTAGACTGCCCATGATAGGGACACTTATGCAACAAACTGTATATGGGTGTTTCCATGAAAATGTCAACCAGGACTGAAAAAATAAAAACAACTGAAAAGGGTTTTTAAGACGAATTAATAAGAGAAAAATACTCCAATTTTTATACTATAGAAGTATTTCAGCTTATAGGAATTTTAAAACTCAAAAATGGAAGAGTAAAACTGAATGTCTCTTCGACTCAGTTTTCTCTAATGAAATGAACTATTTTCTCTTTCCTATTAACTAAATTAAGAGATTTGAAATATTACAATTACGTCTTAAAATCAAATTTGCAATAACAACTAACTATAAAAATGGGAAAAAGGAGAAGTTAGAGCTCGAATAACGGTAATTTTTTGATTTGCTTCTGATAGTATTCTAATGTCGCGTACGTTATGCAAAAACATTGTTTGTCTATGTCATTTGTATATTGGCAGTCGCAGGTAATGTAGATTACAATTCTTAAGCGAGAATTCTTCTAGTTAAAGATATACAGAAAAATTTTTTTCCAACCAAAGTAAAAATATATTTTATTACCCTTTAAAGTTTGTCGCATACGTTATTGTAAGTACGAAAATTTCAATCAAATACATCAAAACCAATGTTAATTGCAAATTTTCCATTTAAATTATTTAGAATAGTTGTAAAACAATGAAACGGTGGCGAGATAAGTTCTCAATAAATACATTTTATTACTTACGAGAAAAATTGTCGCGTACGTTATATCGCGTACGCTATTGTTTTTTTTTTATAATATAAAACTAGCCAGAGATAATTTCTCTTTAAATATGAAAGGATTGTAAAGGTACATTATTTAGCTTAGTTTAGGATTTTTTAAAGAAAAGAAAAACTCCCATGATTCGCAGACTTTCACATATATGCGTGTTTCCATGAAAATGTAAACCGAAAATGCAAGCAAATGAATTCAAACGGCTTTATAACTTTAAATTTCGTACTCGTGGAGAGAAGAACTGAAAAAATTTAATTTAGTATGTGTTACTAGTAAAAATATTGTATGGAGGAAAAATCTATCGCGTACGTTATGTCGCGTACGTTATTATATTTTTTTTTAATAAAAACTAACCAGAGATAATTTCTATCAAAAAATGGAAGGATTGTAAAGGTACATTATTTAGCTTAGTTTAGGAATTTTCAAAGAAAAGAAAAACTCTCATGATTCGCAGGCTTTCGCATGTATGTATATGTGCCTTAAAACCACTTCTTTTTTTGTCGCGTACGTTATCACCTGGTTTTGAACGGATATTTTCCACACCAAGGTTTCGAGGCTGCTTATTTTTTTCTAAAACATAGTACCCTTTGGTTGCAACATAACCGTAATCTTTTTTTTTCTGTAACTCCTATTTTTGATAGATTTACGTTACTCTATAAGCGTACGAATGTCGCGTACGGCTGTATGGAAACACCCATACGCATCTACATATATATATGTATATAACTGAGCCAATTTAAAGGATTATAGAGAAGTATCTACACAGAGAAGGTGGTTATATACATTTTATAGCAATCGGTCAGATCAAAATATGTACAGTGGTCTAAAAAATTATAGCCGCACCACATTTTGGCAAGTTTTAACATATTATTTTTTTCTGTTATTTAATTTTGGGTATTTTTATATTTATTTATTTTTTTTTATTTTTTTTTTCGTATATACAGAATACACACAATTTATTTTTATATGCAAGAAAAACGTAACATTTTCGACAAAAAACTTCTGAAATATGGACGATAATTTTTAGCCATCTTAAACTTGTACTTTATTCTACTACAAAGCTGCATACTCAGAATCTTCCTAGGAAATCGAATTAAAAAAGCTTGAAACTTTTACGAGAGTTTGGCGATTTTTTTAAATGTTGCACAAGTTCAAAATGACATAGGTTTTGTTGAAGAATGATCTATATTTTTATAAAAAAAATAACCAAATTAAATTAAAAAAAAAGTAATATGTTAAAACTTGCCAAAATGTGGTGGGTTTTCGACCACTGTATATACATATGTATGTATGCATTTACATAAAAATATTATGTTCGTTTGTTCGGCAGGCAAACACTCGAAAACGGCGTGACCGTTTTGAATTTTTTTTATAAAAAAATTAGAGAGTTGCTGCCAGTTTGAAAATTACAGTTTTGGTAAATTGATACGATAAAGTAAATGTTGCAATATGGTTATCAAACTAAACAGGTTTAACCGAAAATATTTTTAAGGAGGGTTGCCAACTGTTTGAAATTTTTTATTTATTTGCATTGATAAGATATATTAAATATTACTATATGGGTCTGAAACTAAAAAGGTTGCAACCTATTTGAAAAAATGTATTCAATTAAATTGATAAGACAAACTAAATATTACAAGCGAAAGGTATTTGAGAAATCGTTGATTTAGAAATATTTTCAAGTGAGTTGTAACCTATGTTTCTAAAGAGTAAAAATTAAAAATATTGCAATTAACTGAAATATTACAAGATTGATACCAAATGAAGTGTTTGAGAGAGCTTCTTTTTGAAAGGTTGCTACCTACCTAGAAGCTGAACGTGAAGAAAGAATTTGCTATACATATGTATATGTATCTATGTACATTTGTACATCCACTGCTCTTATTCAAGGGAAAAAAAAGATTTAAAAAAGCTTTATGTGTAATTTTCATAACAATTTTCGATTTATAAAGCATTTAAAATCCTTTTTGTTTTTTATGAATTTAGGTGTTAGTTAATATTGTTTAAAAGGTATTTAGAAAGTAGACAAAATATAGTCTTTCTCCTGGAAAGAAAAGCTGAAATCAGGGCTTGTAATTTCAAAAAGTCTTCTACTTTATAAATGCTTTCAAAACAATATTAACTAACAATTTTGAATGTAGTGAGAAGGAGTAAGAAAACAAAAATAGTGAAAAGGCGCAGCGAAACACGCCTGGTATTTGCTAGTTTACAAATAATTTTGATAAGCGAAGTATATGTAAAAAATGTTCAGTTTATCCTAGTAGCATCCCTCGACATAGCATATCAGAGGCATGACAGTCCTCTGGATAGAAAAGCTCCCTAGTTGAACTCATCATAACTAGTGCGTGTTGTGAATCAAAGTACAGTTAACAGTGACATCCACAGGGGAGTGCTCTCTCGCCTCCTACGGTTTATAACATTGCAACGCGTGGGGGTGGAACTATGTTGCAGTGGTGGTTCTGAGTTAGTTGCCCCAGGCGTTGTACGATCTAATAGAGCCCTCTCTTGATTCAGTATTTACCTGGTCAAAGAAGTGGGGTTTCAGAGGTAAGCCCAACTAAGGCTGAGTTAGTTCCTTTCCTAGAGCTCACCCTATTCCCAATGCCACAAACTCTGTTCCCTAAATTTATATATTGCGAATGCTCTCAATTATGTACCGGGACAAGTCCCCGCATTCTTCCCGTCGGTTATAATTCAGAGTGTCAGTATACGGTCCGTTGAATCACCGTGAGCGAGAGCATAAATGGTTGTGACCTTTATTTATCTAGCGAACTGGACTTTCGACACAAAAGAAGATGGGATCCCGGGAGTCTCTCTGCAGAGAGAACTTTTCGCTTAGAAAACAGCTGTTTTTAGAGTGTTATTGTTTTTTGTAGATGTAAAGACAGTACTTCAATACTCCAAAGAAGTCAAATATAATCCTTGACAAGAGGCTACATAAGTTGGAAGATTCCCTTGGACAACGCTTTTAGTAAAGAAGCCACAGGAGTCCGCTGGACATGTGGGATAATTTTTATCTAGACATATGGGGTCTAAGCTTGAAATTAATTGAGCGGATATGCCGTACAATCGGCGGTCTTATTTTTGCTTACGCCTCCATAGTTGGGTGACCAAAAACACTGAAAAAACTTCCATTCAACGAATTTCTGAAATTACTCCTTTGTACGAAGAAGCATCAGATGGATGTTTTGGGTTGGAAAGATCTTCTAGGCAACAGTAACATAACTGCTTCAAGCCAACTCAGACCTGGCATAGATACACCATCGTCAGTACATTGGCCATAAAGATTTTGTAACCTTTTAGTAAAAGGCGTTTTTACACCTGCAACTGTGGGAAAAGTAGGTAATTGATCGCTAAGTTTCTTGCACATCGTCCTTTAACTCAGTACTTTAACAGGAATCTTGTCACAAGCTTCCTCCAGTCNTGTCCATCAACTGGCAAACAAATACAACAAAAAAAAAGCTGAAAGTGGACCATCCATTCTCGAGTTATGCGCCATCTGACGTACGCAAGTTTGGTATAAACATAGAAATATTTATTTTTAATAACAATAGGGGGTTATATTCGATGTAAATAAGCTTGTTTAAATTAAATAATTAAATCAAATTCGTTTTTGTTTTAAAATACCACCATTCACTATTATCCACACGTTTTTATAGAATTTAGCTCCCATTTTAGGAAGTGTGATTGAATTCTTCCCCTTTTTCTTCTGCTTCCAAAAACCATCCCTGTGGGTGGGAGTGCCAAATTTTAGAAAAAAGCTACTTACAAAACCTTTAATAATTGAATCATGGTCCACACTAGTCCCGAAAAGTATTTTCTTTTTTATCAGTTATTCATTTCAGATTTCGTCACTACGGCAATAGCAGACACATTTCCAATTACATCTATCAAGTATCTACATATTTAAAAAGCTAAAACTTTGCCTTCCCCTCTCTACTCATTACAGTTTCTACAATCAATAAGCAAATAAATAAATAATGGCCGATGAAGCACAAGCACCACCAGCCGGCGAGGAGGCGCCACCAGCGGAGGGTGCCGAAGGTGCGCCCGCCGATGCGCCACCAGCCGAACCAGCTGAACCCATTAAACACACCTACACCCTCTTCTACTTCAATGTGAAAGCATTGGCTGAGCCGCTACGTTATTTGTTCGCATACGGCGGTATTGAGTACGAGGATGTGCGTGTCACGCGTGACGAGTGGCCGGCACTCAAGCCGAGTAAGTAAATTACGTTTTTTAAAAAATATTTTACTCATTAAATCCTCTGGCGCACTTTTTTTCCTTTCCATCACTTGTGCTCATTCGCTGTCCCTTTCTTTCTCTTTTCCTCTCGCCCACGTTCACAGCAATGCCCATGGGTCAAATGCCTGTACTCGAAGTGGATGGCAAACGTGTACATCAGAGCATTTCGATGGCCCGATTTTTGGCTCGTACAGTGGGCCTGAACGGCGCCACACCGTGGGAGGATCTACAAATTGATATTGTTGTTGATACCATCAACGATTTCCGTCTAAGTAGCGAACAATGTGTGCGCTTGCATGTTGCGTGTTGTTTTGATTAATTTTTATTTTAATCTATAGAAATTGCAGTCGTCTCCTACGAACCAGAGGATGAAATCAAGGAGAAGAAACTTGTGACACTCAATACCGAAGTCATTCCGTTCTATTTGGAGAAATTGGAGCAGACTGTTAAGGACAATGAGGGACATTTTGCATTGGGAAAGGTGAGTTAGTTGCGAAGAATGGTATATTCATTAGTCTTCTCTCTCTTTCTTCTGTTTCGTCTTGGTATGTTTGATTGTTTCGAAAGAAACACAGCCGATTATAAATGAAAGGTCCTCAAAATGAACAACTCAGAATCCCATTAATTTTAGAGCCACTCTCGGCACTTCTAACACATAAATTTCTGAGAACCTTTGTATGAACGAACGGTAGATGAGATAGGCAATTCTAAGCTGTGAGCTGTGGTACCTGTAAAAGTTTTGAAACATTTAAGGATTATTTCCAATAAGACCCCAANGTGAGCTGTGGTACCTGTAAAAGTTTTGAAACATTTAAGGATTATTTCCATTCCAAAGAACCTGCCGGTGTGTTGATAAAATAAGACCCGAGGAGCTTCAATCTTAGGATTTGCTTCAGATCCTATAGATTTTTAGTACCCGGCAAGGTGGAAAATTATCGACTGATTTGTTGAAAAAACGCTGGATGAGTAAATTCTTAATCGAATCAAATTTTTTTTAAATACTTAGAACGGACTTTAGAAAAGATCGTCAAGGCCCAAATTAAAAATGTGTTTTAATTTTAATCAGCAAATGGTGAAAGTGGAAAATTAAAGAAAACATTAAACTAGAGGTAATATTTTTCTTGGTGACACATTTCACATTTTTAGGGCATATTTCAGAAGTGGATTTTAAAATTCATCTGCCCTTCAACACATATTTTTTCAAAACAAAATTTTTGTTTAAAAGGCAGATAAATTTTAAAACTTACTTGAGAAAATTCAATATGGCATACTTTATCCATAAAAATGCAAAGTATACGAGTGTTGAACAGTATTCGCCTTATCGGTCATTTTGAATTTCACGATGCTATCATCGGAATCGAACTCAGAGATCTTAAAAACGTTTTCGCTTTCTTTACAATCTTAAATTTGTCACCAAGAAACATTACCTGTTTCTTGATGGTCCCTTTTTTCTTTTATTTACCGACTTTCACCATTTGCTGATAAGAATTAAAACAACTTTTTTTTTTAATTCGGGCCTAGACAATCTTTTCTAAAATCCATTCCGAGTATTTAACAAAGAAAAAAATATCCAATTCAATTAAAAATTTACTTTTCCAGTTTTTTTTTTAAGAAAATCAGTAGACAATTTCCCACTGTGCCGGGTCTGAACATGAAATAAGAATAAGTAAGGTATTTTCAAATCGGTCCAGTTCACGTAAATCTTAATATTTTTCCGAAACATTTGGGTGGGCGTCTTCAAATATAATAAATAAAAACCGTAACTTTTTTTGGTGATGCAGTCTAATGTATGTACATATGTTTGTACTATGTATACACTTTTCTCTCGCCTTTTTCAGATAACATGGGCCGATGTCTATTTCGCCGGAATCATTGACTACATGAACTACATGGTAAAGCGTGATCTCCTAGAACAATATCCAGCGCTAAAAGCTATCGTTGATGAAGTCAATGCATTGGAACCAATCAAGGCCTGGATCGAGAAGAGACCTGTGACTGAAGTTTAAGAAAACAAAAACAATAAAAATACAACCAAGCGAAGCTGATGATTAACAACAAAACAGAAATGAATAACAACTCTAAAAAAAAACAGCTGATAGAAAAAATTTTACTTCCGATGGGAAGCGAATGCTGGAGTAGTAGAGGAGAGGAATAAAAAAAAACATACAACTATTACAAGCTACTATTCTAAACAACAACACCTATACATAATTAATATTTGTATGAAAGCCAAGCTTTTGCAATACATACACACACATTTACATTTTTACGGATATTCATGATAGGCAACAACAATAACATTTAATAAAAACAACTTAAAAAACAAATATTGATAAACATGACACTTTGTTCCTTTTTTGTGTATTTTTTTGTAAACCTAATGAACTATGGACTAATAATAATTACAACAAAAAAAATATAATAATAATATAAACTAATCTTTGTTTAATGTACTAAACTGCTGAATGGATATACTAAAATATTAAAAAAAAAATTGTGGCGGATATAATATGCTTGAGGGGGGAAGTTTTCTTGGGGATTACTAATTTAAATTTTATTTTAATTTAAATTTTATTTTAATTATAATTTTATTTAATTATAACTTTTCGTTAGATTTGTAGAAAATCTTTTTAAATTGATCTTTTTTTTTTGTTTGTAAATATTTGAAAAATATATTTTTTTTTAGCTTCTGTCTTTACCTTTTCACAAAAAAGAATTAAATTTTTGTAACAAAAAAAGTTGTAATATTCAGTGTGCATGGTAATAATTCTGGCGTGGAGCAAGGCAAGTTTTTAAAAAATGAGCGCTAAAGTTTATATTTTATAAAAATTAATATTTAAACACTAAAAAATCTCACAATATTTTAGCACATTTATAGCACTAAGGCTAATTAAAAAATAGTTATAATATACAAAATAATTCTCTTTGCATTCTTTTCTCTGAGCTCTATACAGGGAAATGGGGCCTCAAAGACCCGAAAACTTTAAACGAAAAGTCTCTAATGTCTAGAAACTTTTAGTTAAATATTTTCTAAATGAAAAAAAATATAATTAAAGTTAAAAGTATATTATAGGCGAGAAGCTCCACAAGCAGTAATCCAATTTACACACATCTCCTTATGGTTAAGAAATGATAAGCATGCATTAAAAAATTAAAATGCATGAGCTTTTTAGTTTTTAACTAGCACATAAAATTAACCGTTTTAAATTGTACTTTGATTGTAGACTAACAATATAAATAAAATATTTTTTTTCAGTAAATCTAAAAATTTAAAAGTTAAAGCAAGTTAAATTGTATTTTATTAACAGATGTTGTGAAAAAATTTTAGCACATATGTATGTATGTATTGAGTTTAAAAAAAAAACATCAATCTACGAAATACTAATAAAAATAATGGAAAAACAGCTCATTAAACACTCATTAATCAACAACAAACACATTGTTGACATAAAAAACGAAATCGCAAAACAGATTTACACTTCTTTGAACAACACTTAAGGTGTCAACTGGACAAACTACCACAAAAATAACAAAAAAAAAATACCACAAATATATGCAGTGACTCTTCATGGCATACAAAATCTTCTTCCGAAAACCTGAGAAAAGCAGTAAAACAGTAAATCACTAAACATCCAATTGATGCACAAACAACAACGACTAAATTGCTAGTTCTACAAAAAGAACAAGAAAAATCACATATTATAAAGCTCTGTTATGATCCAACGAACAAAAAAACCAGCAAAAAGGCCTAAACATCAATTGAAGCTTGAAGTTCAACGTCAAGCAAAAGCTAGAATTAAACAAACAAAAAACATGTTAAATAAACTTAAAAAATTATTTTAAATTACAAAGCACACCAGTTAATATTTAACATGTAACGAATTTTCTTTAATTGTACTTTTATGACTAAAAGCGAAGGTAACAATAAAGAAAAACAACCAGAAGAAAAAGGTGAGTTTTCTAAGCACTCATCTTGATGTAAGTTTCGCAAGCTCTAAACTAAGGCATCAAAACATCTAGAAATAACGAAACTTTTCAATGCTTAATTCATCTGAAACAAAAACAAACAGACGTGAATTAGTCAGAAATAAATACGAATTTTTACAGTGGGCTTTTCCGCCCACTAATCCAGTGCGAAGACCGCCGTTGTCTTAAAATCATACAAAACATTTTTTTTTTTACAATAGAAATTATATTGTTGATATAAAAACCTACCCGCGGCATTATAGAAATTTGTTTGGAAAACAAAAATTAACATATGAAAAATAAATGCATTTGAATAGCAGCCCGATCCTTTCATTGAGCTTATTATTAAGTTTGTTTCTAAAGTCAACAACAGCTACATATTCACAATTTTGACCAATTGGGCTTACGCTTTTCAGCAAAACTTTTCAAACCCTCCTGTGCATCATCCATGCGTATGTTTTCAACCATTACCTAAAAAATGCAACTATTATAACACTTCTTTCAGAAAAAAATATGCAATCAAGCTTGATACATTACATTTGTGCCTTGTTCGTAGGCTTCCTTAATGCCCATTTCCAATTGTTTGTAATAGAAAACTTTACCCATGGCTATCACTGCGCGACTCTTCTCTTTTATTGATTTTGTTATTTTGTCAGTTTCTGCATCTAGTTCTGCCTCGGGTACAACAATGCTGGCCAAGCCTTTGTTCAAAGTATCAAAAACTTTATTTGAGACACCCAAGATTAAAATTTCATTTGTAATGTTACCTGCCGCTAAAGCATCTGGTGCCTTCATCGGGAAACCAGTAAACAACAGGTAAGAAGACCGCATACGCGGCATAATACGTGATATCGCAATGCCAGGTGTCGTGCAGAATATGCCTAAGTTAATGCTGAAAATAATAAGGAAACAAATAGCAAAATCAACTAATGAAATCAATGTTTTCAGCTTTTATCACTTAGACCCCCTCTTAAAGTGTGGCCATTGCATACCCTGAAGCAGCAAAGCTTGCTTTATCTGATGCCACGACCATATCACATGAGGCTGCCAACTGTAGGCCAGCAGCAGTAGCCATGCCATTTACTTTCGCTATTATCGGCACTGGAGATTTGTATATGTTCATTATGATTTCCACAAGCTGGCTAAAGATCTCACAACCGCCATCAGTAGAGGCTGACTAAGCAAAAAATTATGTACATAATTAGCATTCAACAATTCGTTATAAATGCAAATATGTATATATGTACATACAATTTCTTTCAAGTTATGTCCCGCCGACCAAACTGGACCGGTGGAGCTAATCACTATGCAACGTAGCTCTTCATCATGTGCATCCTTTGTAATGCCTTCGAGGATGCTTGCCATCACTTCACGGGAAAGTGTGTTGCGTGCTCTGGGATCATTTAATATGATCTCACGTACACCATCACTTTGTTTAATGATTGTACTTTGATTACGATTGCTTCCCCCGAGCAGTGGAGCCATTGCAGCAGCAGTTAAATTTGTACTCTGCAAAATAGGAATCCCTTCATTGTATTTGTCGTTTTTATGCAAATCCACTCACCTTTGCTAATGATGTATATAATGTACGCAACATTTTTAGCTGATAGTATTAAAATTGCACTTGTTGCGAATTAAATAGGTAAACTGTCAACTAAAATTGTGATAAGTAATCAGCTGTTTACACAAATATGCCAGTAGAGATTTCTATGCAATGCACCAGCACCATACGAAATTCACTTGGCAATCGAAATCGAAATATTAGTTTCAAAATTTAAAATTGCCAATATAAAATATTTAGAGCTGTTTCAAGCAAATAAATTTAAATTGGTTTTGAAAAAGTACTTTCCACCTTCTGGATTAAGAAATTTAGAGTAAACTGACTGTAAAAGTCGTCGGCCAAAATTTCGACTATGATGCATTCCCAGATACTGGCAAATTCTAAGTCGGAATATATTTATACTAAAAGTGTATAACGAAAAAGCAATTAAATTGTAAAAAATAATAATATAACAATGTACCAAACAAATAAATATGTATATATCGATAACCGTGACAAATACATATATCGATAATTTTTATGAACACGTTAACCCCCAAACAATGGTCTATCGACAGTGATATCGAAATAATATTAATAACAATAGAATGGCGCTTACACAATTATGAGATTCGCAAGACGTGTTAACCATCCTAAAATCTTAAGCTTAACCTTTTTTATGTAAAATAATCATTGAAATAGTTTTAGAGGATTTCCAGCTTTACCGAAATTTTTTAAACTGATACGAAATATACAGTGGTAATACGGTAGCGCGCACTGCTAAGCACTACACCACAGCGGTCGCCGATATCGAAATATTTACGCATAAGAATTATCAAAAAAAAAGTATCGATAACAAATAGGCATGAGCATTTTTTTGTTTATTAGTGGGTGTTGAAATATACCAAACAATACAACCCTGTTATGCCTACAGGTACACATGTAAACTGTCAAATGAAATAAAT